GGTAAAAAGTTTGAGAAAGGCTGCCATAGAAGAACTGCCTAAACCTTCCACATGAGCATTTTTGTCTATGAAGTACTAAAATGAACTCTTATTACTATTATTTTAGACACCGCAATATAAATAAAAAGGAGTTGAGACTTTGAGTGCAGCAAGACCAAAAAAGATGATTAGCAGACTGGAGGATAAGATGTATGAAGAACAATTGCAGGAATTGGCTATGTCTAGTTTAATGAAAAGAAGGACTAGAGGCAACAATGTTCCATATTTTGAGGTGCTGCCACAAAGAAGAGGGGTTCAACCTATTATCCAAAGCACATGAAAACAGGACAAGAAGCAATGGATGGAAACTAATCAAGGAGAGAACCAACCTAGAATTAAGGAGAAATTTCCTAACAGTTAGTATAATTAACCAGTGGAATGGCTTGCCTTCAGAAATTATGGGTGCTCCAACACCCTTTAAGAACAGATTGGACAAACATTTGTCTGAAATGGTATTGGGTTTCCTGTTTGATCAGGAGGTGGGACGAGAAGATTTACAAGGTCACTTCCAATTCTGTTATTCTATTCTTCCTCATGTATGATGTAGGAATGGTGGTCCTACCAACAGGTAAGATCTTCACCTGCAGATTGCTTCCATTAGCTGATGTGAACATTTGGGGAAATAGGAATAGGTTGGGTTTAAGGCCCATGGGAAAGAGAGTTTTTTTCTGAAGAATGGCTATAAACATTTGACTTCTAATAATAATTCCCTGGAGCTTTATGGGTTCTGAATTTGGAATGTTTGGGTAAAAATGAGCTATTTCCCCTCAATTTTATTTGACAAATTTCCCGGGTTTGCCAATTTCTAATGGAGCCAAAGAAAGTTCAGCCTTCACCAATTCTCTTGATTTGCATTCGCCTTGATCTAATCAAAGCATAATTCACTAGGAAAAAAAGAAATTCAGTCAGAATGCAATTCTTGATGCAGGGTGTGGTATATTTCATTCCATTATTCTTCCTTCTTCTCTGGCATATAGCTCCAATTTCTCATTTCAGTTAGCCTAAGGTAACCTGCACTATTGGAATGGGCACTGGAACAACTGGTTGCTGCTCTCGGTAAAACCACTGAGTCAGGGGGTTAGCCTTGAGGTGCAGTTAACCTCGTTGAACACTCTTTTCATTGAACGCAGATTCTTCTGCACAGGAATGGAACCAGAATGTGTGATTCAGTTCTTCCACCCTTTAAAATGCCAAGCTTGACTACATTCCTCGATCACAGAGATGCTACAATGATTACTGTAGCGCATCATTTATCCAAACAGCCTGGAGGACCATTGGAATAATCAGAAGCTCAGATAAACAGCCGTGCTCTTTATAAGGATTTGCCATGAATCAGGCATCTACCCAGTGTAGAGAAGCAGAGAAGGGGATTGCAGGCATCCTCCTGTACAAAAATCAAAACAAAGGAAGAGCACAATATGCTCTAAATTTCACCCTATCTTTTAAAATGAATTGAAATGATTACTTCCTGGTGTGTGTGTGTGTTTACATGGCCTGGTTATGAAATATTTGATATCATAACAAATTAAGAAAGCATGTAAAAATGATTCCCGTAACAGATTTGCATGTGCATTTTTCCTACCTTTGATGATGGCGGCAGGTTTTTGAAAAGTCATGGGACTCACTGGCAACTTTGCTTATGTATTTTGTTTGTGATTAATAATAGTCTCACTTTATTTTAGGACCCAGGTTAAAAAAAGCCTGATGCACCACAAGGATGCCTTATACAAGGATGTGTAAGGTGGGTTAGCAAAAGTGTGTTGCTCTATGGCAGGGGTCCGCAATCTTAAACACTCAAAGAGCCATTTGGACCCATTTCCCACAGAAAAGAAAACACCGGGAGCCACAAAACCTGAGTAGGTATGGCCCACTTGATGTCACTACCTCCCACCCAGTCATGTGATCCTCCCCAAACCATGCCTACTCAGTCGGCAGATAACTGGTTGTTAAAAATCACCTGGAACCACAAAACCCTTTTGATCTCTGTCTCTTTCTCTCTCCAAGTTTTAAAGCCATGGCTGGACACAGTGAGCCCATCCCCCTTTCTATTGTCCTGTCCTCCCAGATCCCCTTCCCAACCCACCAGCCCTCATGTTAGCGAAGCCGGCATTGGTCACAGCTGGCTCAGGCCAGTATCTCAGGATGGAGAGCAGGTTTTGTGTCTCCCCAAGCAATCCAGGCATGTCCAGCACCAACAAGGACCAGAAGAAGCTCCAGCAAGAGTGAGGCTGCCAGAGAATCAGCCCCGGCTGCTTCTCCATTCCGCGCCATTGCCCTTACCTTCTTAGGCCAGGCAAGGAGTGACTAGGAGGGGAGGGTGAGGGTTGGGGCCAGCCAGTGGTGGGATCATCCAACGAGGAGGCACAGCAGAGGGCCCAAAGAGCCACATGCAGGTTGCAGACTCCCGCTTTATGAAGGTGTGAATGGGACTATAGAATGGACCTACAGGAGTCCTGATCATATCTTATGACTGGTGTGTTACTGTTTCCAAAGCTTTTACTTTTCAAGATGTTGGCCTACAAGTGTCTCGATCTAGATTAAAGTCTACCCTCAGCCACAGAAGCTCACTGGGTGATTTGGGACTAGCCATTCTCTCTCTCAGCCTGATTTTCTTCAAAGGGTTTTGTTGGGGGTGTGGTGTGGTGGAATAGAAGAAGGTAGTTGTAAGAACACTTTCTTAAACTTTTGAAGTTTAAGATATAATCCAATGAAAAAAATATAGCTGGTCTTCAACTTACAAAAGTTAATTTAGTGACCATTTGAAGTTACAACAACACTGAAAAAAGTGACTTATGACTATTTTTCACATTTATGACTGTGGCAGCATCCCCATGGTCATGAGATTTGCATTTGGATGCTTGACAACTAGTTCATATTTATGATGGTCGCATTGTCCTGGAGTCACATGATTCCCTTTTGCAACCTTCTGACAAGCAAAGCCAATGGGGAAGCCAGATTCACTTAACAACCATGTTACTAATTTAACAATTGCAGGGATGTGGCAAGAAAAATCATAAAATGGGGGCAAACCTCACTTAACAAATTTGTTTTTTTTATGTTTTTTTGTTTTATTAGACATTTATAGGCCGCCCTTTTCCCTGAGGGGACTCAGGGCGGCTTACAGTCAAAAGGGAAGGGAGTGTCAG